TCTCTACTCGTCCTTCGAGGTATACGTTATCCACTTCAGCACTTTGATGATACCATTTGATCTACCGGCTGAGTGTAGTGCAATTCAGCATGAGGTTGGTGTAATTATTGCTTTGATTAATTATATTCTTTCCTCTAGAAGGCAAAGATTAATCCATCATATTGATAGTCCACATAGATCCCTAGCGAGCGCACGTTGAGGGAATATTTATACACTCTGTGGCAAACCACATTATACTGAGTCATTCTTTGAAACAATGTGAGCTGAGATTATTTTCTGTCTGTGCCACAGCAAAGAGTTCTTTGACAGAAGCCTGAAACTGAGATTTTTATCTCCAGCACTATGAAAAGCTCATTTATGGTTTCTCGACTGAACTGATCACATGATCCAACATCTAAAAGTAGAAAAACTGTTCACTCTCATTTTGTTTTTCAGGGACAGGGCATTAGGGAATGATTTTTTAAAGATTATTCAAGTCTCTAATAAAATAATACTATGACTGGACTAGATAAAACGCATTCCTGCTTACAACCCAGAATGAAAAAAGGATGAGGATCAAGTTCAGAGCTTAAAGTGGTATAAGATAACGCAGAGACATGTTTCTGCTCATCTCTAGACATGGCCAATTGGATTAGTTCAACCATTGGTAAAAAAAAAGTGAAGGTCATTCTCTATGCATCGCTAGCATGTGCTACATTAAAAGCCTCTTCCTTTTCATAAAAATGCAAACAAGTGAGACAGAGGGGAACAATCCTTTCAATAAGAGAAGAACTGGCTGTTCCTTTAGTGGCAGTAAGCCTGCATAAAACCTCATGGCTTACTACATCATGTAAAACGATCTGGCTGCGGAAGTTATGCTATCATGGAAAGGTAATGCATGATGGATGAAAACACTGTTCTGCCCACAAAGGCTGAACTATGTGAGGAGAGGAAGCTGGTGAGCTCTGCTGACAGCATCTTCAGTTCAATCTACCAAATCACTATTGGAGTTATCGGCTACCTGGTGCGTGAGGTCAAGCTCTGTGTCAGCTATTGGTCTGACAACTATTCTGCAGATAACATTTGAGAGACAACGCCATCTCTATGAACAGATATCTAGATATGAATGCAGATAAATAAATAAATAAAAAGCTATACGGTTCTAAGATTGCATTTTGGCCAAAGTGTTTCAGCAGAGAAGCCAAGCCTGTTCGAATATGATGAAAAAAACAGAACAATTACATAAGTGATATAGACTCATAAAGAGAAGAACATGTCATGTTGAAAGAAGATCAGGATGCATTGACGCTCAGGCCATACTGTGGGCCGGCTGTCGGAAATGGAGGCACCGAAGAAGCCAAACCAGGCCTGGGAAGTGCAGACCTTCCCACCCTGCTTCAGAAGTAATGTTAGAGGTTTTCTAAAGCCACTCCTGTGCCTGCAAACATCACCGTTTTGTAGTGGAAATTTGTATTATATCCTGATATGTTTAAACCAAATGCTTCTCATTTGGTTAGATGTGCTGTTTGCCTCTATCTACTCTACTTCAAGGCCACAGCTGCTATTATGAATGGACTTACACATACTGTAGTCACACGAGAACTTGCCTTTCCTGAGATCTACAGCTCAAGGACATGTGTCTAATAACAATGTGACCGTGTGAAGACAGATTTCTTACCTTCCCACCATTTCTTGCATATAAGCCTTGCTACCATATTGAACTGTGCACACTCGCGCAGAATATTCTATACTCTGTGGGACCTGTGTCTATATTTATTGTATTGTATTTATATATATATTTGAAGCTTCAAATAAAATCATCAGAAAGACAACTCTGTCTGATTCACCATTTATTTGTTTTGATCACTCTGACTTGTACTCTACAGTATTGGGGTTTTTAGATTTCCATAACAGTTTCTGTACACGGGGACCGCCAAAACCTACACAAAATGAAAGCTCCTTAAAAAAAACAAAAAAAACATATCACCTATATTTTGGATCATACGAATTTACACTGTCTTATATTTAAAAAAAAAAAAACACGTTGTTAACCAGTTAAAGAAACCGCTCTAACACACAGCCCAGACACGCACACACAACTTCACCAGCCAGCAGTGTGTGTTTCCATTACACACTTCTGTTCCCATCTCCTGTTTTGTTCTCCACTGTAATTGGAAAAGCCAGGGAAGGTGTTCTGGGAAACATGACCACAGAGCTATGGGAAGGCATTGAGGCAGAAGATAAGTTTCATCTGGCTTTTGTTTTATTTTGTTTTTATACTTTTTCTTTTTTGCGACAGAAGTTCAGCGTGGGGTGGGGGGATGCCATCCCAGTCATCCTCTCACACAGCCCTCCGGTGTCTTCCCACGTATGTCCCAGACAGTCATCTTGTGGATATGCTAAAGTTTAACGCTGATGGATGCTGACTGACATCATGAGAAATTAATGTTACAAATCAGCCAGAGTGCTCCTGCAGCTCAGCGTGGAGGAATTTAGATATTTTACTTTTCCTCGGAGGTGGTGGATGGTGCAGGTTGACATATGTGTTTTAAGATGAGTGGGAGGATAGTGGTTAGGATTGAGGAGGTATGGGCATGTGGGGTTAAAGGTGCAGGTATAACTTTATTTTTACTCAAATATGGCACCCATTTCCACATGTTAATATGTCTCTTCCTAAAAAATGCATCATTCATGGCCACAACCACGCCAACGGTCTCTGGTGATTAATTAACGCATTGAGATCCCCACCTTCAGTCGAACGCCTAACTTTGTTCTTGTTAATTATCATGTCTTTAATTAGCCAAGATAACTTTTGTTCTATGCTATTTTTACCTTAAAGCAAACTTATCTTTGTTACATCACCTTTTGTTCAAACGGTGCATGCGTGTCTGCTAGCGATGTGTCTGAAACCTTAATCTTTGTTGTGTCTAGCACTTTCTTCTTTTTTTAAACAGAGGTACATTATAAGTTACTTTGTTCGGCAACCTACATGCTGGACTTCATTACCACTGGAGGAAAACTGGCCATCGTCAGCATTCAGCGTTAAGGGCTTATTTCCTCTTCTGGCTAATTAACATGTAAATATTGAGTTCCAGTAAAAAATGAAAATGAGTTCATTATTATCGAGAGCAAAAATCCCAGGATAATTTGTTTTTATAAAAAGTGATACACATTACATCATCATTTCTGCCATAAGATCAAAACAGTAATAGTAGACTTACTTTGCTGACTTTTTGAAATAGCGTGGGATTATGGGATTCTTAAATTGGTACACAACCACGGTTTAAGATTAAAATTATTGTATTGTATTAAAGTTAAAGCCTTTTATTGTCATTATACACAGAGTATAACGAGATTCAGAGTGCAACTTTGTCCCGGTGTGCAAAAAATACAAACAAATATATAACACTAAAAAACACGGCAATAGGACAGACAACATACAATCATACGGGGGAATAAATAGTTAAAATATTGATATAAAAATAGTATATAAAGTGATTTGGGCAGGAATCATGAGGGAATTAATTCAAGTTTTAAGATGACAGTTATGAGTTGCACATACACTTAGTAGTACACTCAACACTAAAATAATAACACAGAAGCTCTATAGTCCCAACCAAGAAGGCAAACTCTTTTTTGCAAAGGCATTTCAGTTTAGCTTCTTCCTCTCTTACCTTTCACAACAAAAGCCCTAGGAGAATACACGTCACTGCTTACCAAAGCAAACTTACATTTACTTAGACAATTACTCTATAGGCCACTCAACAACATAGTTGTTTTCACACCATGTTATGGTGCCCCTTTTTATGAAACGAACACCAGCTAACGTCAATTTGCTGACTCATCATTACCAGATGACTCAACTATCCGTGTATAGTCGACTCGTCTGGTGATAAGGTGATAATAAGGTAGTCGCGAAGACTGAAAAAGGTAGCTGAATTATACCTTTTTATAATAGCACACAGCAAGTGTTGCAAAATGTCACGCAATTAATGTAAAACGGTTACTGAGAATAATTCTGCCACATTGTATGTTTTATGCCGACACAAGGGAATGCTTTATTTTTTACCGTTGTCCCTGTAAAAGTTAAAGCAACTACATAGGTGTGAAATTATTGAAGAAGAAGAAGATTCAACTTATTATATAAACGTCATTACGTACAGGTACTATGTAACGAAACGGTTTCTCTGCATTTGACCCATAGTGTTAGGAGCTGCCATTATGTACGGCGCCCGGGGAGCAGTGTAGGGAACGGTGCCTTGCTCAGGGACACCTCGGTAGCACTTGGTCTTTCCGGGACTTGAACTGGTCCCTATGGACTTCGCCACCAACGCCCCTAAATGATGCCTTTAAATGCACCGTTACCTTGATTAAATTACATTTTTCTAGGTTTGAACATTGTTGGTTACATTTGGGATAATGTAAGTACATAACTTAATACTATATATTCCATAGGTTTGTCCGTTTTAAGGCATTTTAATGTGTAAAGTGTTACAGATTAAACCTTTAACCAATGCTGTGTTTTCCTGTGGGGCAGTTGGTGAGACAAGAGGGTGGAGACTCCTATCTGCTTTGCTTATTGTGTAACTGCCTGTGAATTACTTTGTAATCTGTTGTTATTCTACGCCATACAGCAGGGTGTGGCGGCGGTGCGGGGGAAGAGTTGGGATGGGGGGGGGTGTAGGTAGGATGAAAGCTGGTAATTTATCATTCTGTTTCTCCCTTGTCAAGTTAAAACCCAAGACTGCTCTTCTCTTATCCAAAGAGCTGTGATAACAATAGGCAAACAGACGAGCCATTTCTAACATCTGTATTTCACACACAATCCCCCGCTGACTGAGGTTTGAACATTCCCCCTACAGCCCTTGACACAGCAAGCTGCCCGCCTCCTTGCTTTGGCAGTTTTTAGCACACAGACACACGCCAGGAGCCTGCACATATCCCAGCAGAGATGCAGATAAACTGTTGAATAGATAAGGAGCCAACAAGATGAAATGTAAAAACAATTTGACTTGACATACCACAAACACGCAGCATCTCCTCCTCCCTCTCTGCAATAAGAACATCATCTCTGTTGTTGTGTATGTCAGGATGCAGAGCTGTGAATAGATGCTTTTAGAAATTAGATGAATGCTTCCAAGTAATTAAAAGTGAAACAAGTCTTTTAGCAGTAGGGGATCAGGAGAGGAAATGCGTTCAAAGACAGACATCACTGTGGATTAAGTGCTAGACAGGGATCTAGTACCAACACAGGAAGAACAATACTGCTTTGGTTGAATCTAAACATTATTTCTGCTCACTATTCAAATATAATAACATTTCCTGTGGGTGTCATTTTGTCATTCATCTCACAAAACATGCTTGGAGACTTTTTTGCCCCCCTATCAGCACACGCAGTTATTTTCTACCCTGGAATTTCTAGCACTGAATGTCTTGTAGCAACCTTTCCCGTGCAAAAGAAAGCTATTGCTGGGAAGAACTAAATGTAACTTAAGATTTTGATCCAACATTTTCAAGATGCTGGCATTTATAAAAAGAAAAGAAGTGTGTTCTGCAGTGGGGAATAGCAATATAGTCCAAGGCGCGAGGCTGAATAACATTTGACGCTTGGTCATAGGGCTTCCACCGTGTATGCTGTTGACATCTATGGATATTAAAAAACCTGCTGCATAGGGTACGACACTGAGAAAAGTTGCTACTTTAAAAAGTGCTGTTCTTATGGTTTATTATCCAACACATCTCACATGAGCCCATAATGCTCAAAGGCATAGCTTTGCCACACAAAAATCTATAACCAATTTGATTCATTTACACCTGAAATACACATTTATAAAAGTATATTTACCCGTCCAGAATCAAACCAAGGACAGAGATGATCATCATAAATGCATCTTTGTATGCAAGTAGCAGCGAGTCACTTCAAAATAGTGGCATTTTAGAAACGTTTGCACCTTTATTTTGAATAACTGACATCACTTACTAGAGTGTTTCATATTTTGTGTACAAATCCAACTTGGCTTATGTTCTTTTTAGGGTAAAAGCTGACCGGCCACTTGAATTATCCCTTTAGGACTACAAAAGAGCCAGTCAAAACATATGTAATGGATGAAATGCGAAATAGAGCAGCACCTTAACTCAAACCATAAAATACAGAACTTCTTAATCCAATCCAACTTTATTTATATAGCACTTTAAAACCTTCAGACCAAAGTGCTGTACAGAGAGATAAGCTCACACAACATAATATAAATACATTTAAAATACAAGATACAAACACAAAACAAACCAGAATAAATGTAATAATTAAAAAATAAATAACAGCCATATAATAAAAACAATAGACCACTATTAATATACCATATTAATGCAAGAAACCTTTTCGTGCCGCGATACATTGATAAAGTACTGCTGCAAGGGATTGATTTCAGTTTGTTTTTTTAACAATACGGTTGCCTTATCACTGAACATTTTAGATTCTGCAGTGCTTTTACTCTCGGTTAGAGTCTGAGCAACAGATTTCTTGGCAGCATATTACCTCCTCAAATATTGAAGAGAAGTGATGGCAACAACACAGGTGCAGTTAGTGGCAGTAGATCTGATCCATTACAAAGCTGAGGGCTCCTCTACGGCCACACACTTGTATTCCATCCTGCCAGATCCCGCCAATAGCACTGAGACATCTCTTGTATTCTCATCCATATCACACTATTTTCATCAGTTACTTCTTTATTTATATGCTTTTCTTTCTTTCTTTATATTTTCCCGACAGCATCCAGACGATGCTTTTAACTGCCTTTGGCATTTTGGCTACGGTTTGTCTTATTTCCGTTAAAATGAATATATTCAAGTATTGTGGTTTAATGAAGCTGAAACATGAATTATTTACGCATTTAAAAGTTAGAGTATCAGAAACATCTAGTGGCTACAGAATTATAATAATTGCAGATTTGTTTATATTCTCATCACAAATACCCAGCAGGACAAATCATTTCCACTTTAATTTAAACTCATGAAGCATGTATCCTACACTCTTCACATGCCCATGCACTATTAAGTTCACAAATATTCATCAGCAGATCCAATAACACTTTCTTTCCTTTTGATATATTTCAGTTTCCACCACGGCACAATGCACCGGAGTCAAATAAATAAACAAGCAGGAACTTCCAGCTATGTGACGCTGCTTCTAGTAAACAGTCTGTCTCTGCCAAATAAATAAGCAACGCATACGGTACAGGCTTCTGCCAATGATCAGAAAAGAATATGCTGGGCAATGGCCCCGGTGCTGATGAAAAGCATTATGAAAAAACTGTCTATATTTAGCCAGCGCCATATTTAGCATACCCACGAGCATTTTGTCGGGGGTGGCTTTGGCTCAAATTCGTGTTGCTTACTGCGAGCACTGGGATGAAACATTGGTAGTTGCTGTTTTTTTAACACCATCCGTCGACAGGCATGATAATCTGCACATTTTAGGAATCTATGTCTTTCACTTGGCACCAAATCACAGCGGAGATATCCGAGGTTGTAGAATGAGAAAAAGGCAGCGTTAGGTTCACAAAATACATCGATTTGCATTTTTATGATAGACGTGATAGGGGGGTATACTATGTGTCCGGCAGTAGTTTGTATGGGGCCAGGAGCCGAGGCCTGAGTGGAGCCCCTTCAGTAGCTTAATGACAGCCATCATCAGAGCAATATAGTCTCCCAGCTGCCTGATCCATCCCTCTCTTCTACTCACAGGAGAGAGCCAAGCAACTCGATTGTTACCTATACAAGTACGAGTGTAGGGTGTGTTTGGCTGCATGTGTTTAGGCAGATTATAGTGTAGACTTCTTCTGTAGCTTCCACCTCTGATTAACTCAGTTGGGGGTGAAATGACTGAAGGCTTCATGGGGACTGGGAAGAAAAGGGCTCTGAACAGAAATAACAGTGCAGAGGATAAGTGGGGCTGGCTGGGGGACGGGGCGGACAACTTGATGATATTGTCTTATTTGTGTCTGAATTGTACTATTTTCTTTCTATTAGTGTGTGCAAGGGATACTATGCAGCGAGCCGGTCATTAATGAGAAAAGAACCACGAAAGAGTGAGCAGGATACAATGATGGCATTGCTACAGCTAAGAAATAAATAGTCTGTTATTCATTAACAACTTCTCTTGAAATGAGGCAACTCTCATCAACATGTTCTGCTCTGTAACTGTCCGTTTACATTTCCATGAATCACTCTTGATATTAATCTGCAAGAGCCCATACAATGTTCCCTTTAGTGTTTACTTCCTGTCCGTAGGCGTCGTCTTCTTCTGCTGATTTCTCTTTCGTCCAGCTCTCCGTGTCTTTACATTTCTTTCGCTGTTTTTCCTGCACCGCAAACAATAATACTTAAGAAGTACAAGACCGAAGATTGATCTGTTTTTCAGTCGGAGCTGACGTTTAATTGATCAGACCTTTTTCTGCGGATTGATATGACAGTATATTGTCCTAATTCCAGAGTGTCCTTAGCAGTGGTCTGCCATCAAGAAAGAGCTGACCTCTTCATTTCAAAATTGACCAATCAGAACAACAAATCCAACCAAGCCGTGTTAAAAAGGGATAATATAAACAGTCTTGCAAAATTAGCCTTGAAGACAAAAGGCACTCAAAATATAAGAATAACTTCAAAAGATCACATTTTTCTTACCACCAGCACATTTCACTTTGTAAATGTTGAGATGAATTTTAGTGTAAGCATCTTAGGGAAGGTATTTGTGTTCCATTATTGCCCTTTCACACAGGCAGTGTGATTGAATGACTCCAACTTTATAAATATTTTCTGTTTCTCTGGCTGTGTAAAACCCTCATTGCAGAACTTGGCATTTTCCATTACAGCTTGACAGCTTCTCTCTGAAGTTTGAAAACATCGCCTCGTATTTTTCTCAAGCCCCTTTAGTCCTCCGCCTCATAACCGTGCTAGGAAACTCCAAGGCAACAAGTTGAGCCTAATAGGCAATTAGCTTTTTCAATAAGCCCTTCTCCCTGTGATTACTGGACAACATTGGTCTGTGATTCTCAGTAAGAAACGGTTGCAAGCTACATAAGCACGACCGTGTTTGAAAGTAATTAAAGTTTTGGTGCTGTCAAGGTAGAGCTTATAACAGAGTGTGCATGTGTACACGAACGCTTCGAGAATAAAACAGAATACACCAAGTGTGTGTTTTTATTATTTTTAGTTTATCACTGGACGAATACAAAACATTTCTCCAGGGGTTCTCGGTTCAGGTTCACTTCACACACTCCTTGTTGCCTCGACACTCGCTGACACGTCCCTTCCTACTCGCATTCGGAAAGACTTCATAGTGCGTGCCTCTGCTTCTCTGTGTCCCTGGCCTCTCCTTGGCCCCCATCTCTTCCTGTTTCCTTGCATCAGCTCCATTTTGTGTCTCCGAGTGTCTGTGAGAGGAGCTCCACTCCTTCACCCGCTTTAGCCCGAGCCGCGGGATCGATGAGCGACTGGGCCTCTTACTGTAATCACTGACCCATTCCCCAGCCACCATTTGGCCCCTGACCTCCTATTCCTCAGCTCGGAGCTCGGAGCTTTATTTCTTCAGAGCCAGGTCAAAGAGGTTGAAATGATTCCAGTTCACTCGGGTTACATCCCTGAGCCGACTCTAAAACTTCAAAAGTCATGACGGATTTTGTTCCCATTATTATCCATTACTTCACACTGTTTGCATAACTCAGCCATGTTAGCAGAATATTCCCACCAACAACACGGCAAGTTTCCGATCTGAAAAGCCTGTATTTTGATAAAAAACCTGTCTCAGACGTCGACTCACAAAAACGGTCATTATGTTTGTGATGGATTCACAATCCATTCTCTGACCAGACGCTTTGTGATCTTCTTCCTCCGAGAGCCTTAGGTTTATGATACCTGAGTTTTTTTTCATAAATCATATATAAGTTAGTCCAGATATCCGTCTCCATGGAAACCCCTCAACCCCTGTGCATAGAATCTGTAGCACTGCATAGCATTGCACGGATCTGGGAATCTAAGGGCAACGATTAAAACACACTTCCTTAACAACTAATGATGTAAAAATGGCAATTTAAACACTTTTGTA